AATATTAACTACTGTCAGAAAAACAAACAACCCTTTTAGAATTAATAGTAACATTCAAACATATTGATAATCTTTCAGTGTCCATCATTATTTAGTTTTTAAACAAAACTAAATATAAAATCTGTTCAGGTCCACATGTACTTATCTTAGAAAGGAAAAAAATTGAAAAAACATGAGGTTACTGGAGAAAAATATAGCAGTTTTTAGATTATCAGACCAAATTCCTCCACAGCAGCTTTCAGACACTGATAGCTCAGTAACTAAGAGGAATAACTGTGAACCAACAAGACTGAAGATTGGAGACAAGTCCAGTGGCTGCTGCAACATCACTGATGCAAGAATTTTGTTCAAGTTCTTGGGAAGCTGCTAGTGATAATGGCAAACCAAAGAGCATTTCTCTATCTGTGTGTGAATACTGCAGGATATTCTTTGAGAAAATAAATGCTGCAGGTGGAACAGATTGAAATCTCTTCACTGACACAGGAACCTTGGAGTGACACTGTTCAGGTGCAGGATCTTGATGAGCTCCACACAGAGGTCTTTGTGATGTTGTTGGTACCTGTAGGGAGCAGGAACTCTTTCTTCAGGTTATTCCAGGAAAAGCTCTGTCAGCCTTCATTGGGGCCTCTGTGATGAAGGTTTTAACCTGTGGCTTGGGAGGTGCTTTGAAACTGCCATCTGTGTGCACTTGACATAAAGCTGCAGACTTTCTAACTTGTGATTACAACAATCATTAGTCAACCCTGTTTTTGGACAATAGTTAGGACTTCTGCTACTATATGACTGTTCTCCCCAAGTCTACTCCATGTTTCTACAGTTCTGAGAACAGGGAGTGAGCCTCTCAACTCAGTTACCTGCCTTGTTTTATGTCAGAATCAGAAGCAAGCATAGTTCTGACAAACAAGAGAATCTGAAATAAGAGTTTCACAGAGATACTCTTTCTCTACTGTTGCCTTGATTGGAGAGGCTAAATGAGCTCTCTTGGGCCTAGACAGCTGGTTGCACACATCTGGTTGCAATTTGATTATTGAGAGTGAGGTGAGCATCATTTTGCTGCACTCCACATGCACTAGAGCAATCCTGGTGCCCAATGCAGAGCCCACCTGCAACAAAGCAACTAATCTAAAATTTACTGGGACAGGGAATACACCACAGAGGTTCTGTCAATGCCAGGGAGACCATACTGCCAGTCTCTTTGTCACATTCTCCCCAGTTAGCACAGCATCTCTCCCTTAGGACAGAGGAATGGTTTTGCCATTTTTGTTTTTGTTCTCCATGAGAGGGAACAGTAATGCCACTTGTATCCTGCATAGTGGCAGGTATAGCTGAAGTGCAGACTGAGGCTGTTTCTGAGCTCTCTGAGCTGTGTGATGAGCTGAAGGAACACAATTTCTGCTCCAGCTGCCAATTAGGCAGGTAACATATCCCTGAGAAAGGTAGTGTTAAGAGCTAATTATTTTTGTATGCTACTGCCTGAATAACTTGAGTCTGCCAGGTGCCAAACGCCCCTGGAAATCTGTGGGAACTGAAAGGCTCAGCTTGTTCCTGACTCTTTTATGGAGTCAGACCCTAGAAAACTTCAAACTTTTAGAACAAAGGCTCCCTATCTGCTGGGGTTGAGAGTGAATCATACCCATGAGAAACGTGAAGTAGAAAAAAAAGGACTCCAAGTGCTGGTTCTGTGAGAGCAGGATGCGTGTTCCCCTGAAAGCCCGTCCCAGAGGTGAATCAATGCCACTGTACCTTGCACCATTTCCTCACATTGCTGCTCCTCTGCTTTTCTGCATGAGTCACTGAGTTGTGATCTCTGGTTTTCGTGCTTCTACAATCTTGTGCAATGTTGTCACGGCTGTTATGCAGTTAAACTTTATCTGTTGCATTAAATAAAATAATATGTATTTTGGATAGATAAATGACCTAAATACCAGCATGTCTGGTTTAATATAGTCAGTTTGTAGAAAGTGGTGGCATGGGGGACAGCTTGGTTGAAACCTGGCTCTAGTGTGGTAACCAGTCATTTGTTAGTTTCTAATTCTTTTCTTTTCCTCTTTTTTTCTTAGTTGTCTAGCTGTGAGTGATAAAGAAAGAGAAGACACTGTCATTGTACACATGAACTGATGTGGTTTTACTGCATTTGGCCACACACTTAAAAGAAATATGCTGGTACAGAGCAGCCACAGGTCTTATCTCTGCTGCCACTCCTTTCACAAAAGAATGATCTTTACATCAACAGTTTCCACCCTTGGCTTGATAACGTTGCAGTCCTCCCTTTTGCTCTTGGTCCGAATGCAGAGATTAAAAACACTCAGTTGATGCAAACGGTGGGTTGATACAACACACAGAATGGGGTGTAGATGTGCTTCACACAACAGAGAGCAGAATTGAAGGGGAAAATGTTGCTTGGAGGCAAGACGCCTCTTTAATTGATTATGGCAAGGAAATTAAATACCATATTTGCTTTTTTCCTGGAGTATATTGAAAATGATCATAACTAACATCTGTTCATGTTAAGCAAATACTTGTCAAGATTTAAACTTCTGTTTGCATACAACTCTGAGTAGTGCATCTTAAAGTCATACATATTCATATAGAATGAAGAATGCATAATGTCTGCATAAAAAGATAAGCTGTATGACTATATATGAAGACAACAACTACAATTCTCACAGCACTGTCATTGGTTAATTTTAAAATATTCAAGCATTATTTAAAAAACAGTAAGCTGAACTTAAAACTACACTACAAAAAATTGTAAAACTAAACCAATGCTGACTTGTTTTCCTCAATATTAATCAATTGTAAAGCTTCCCTTTTTTTTTCTCTTTTCTCTAACACTTTTTGTTAATTCATTGTTATTTTAACCTCCAGTAACACGATCAGACTTCTTCTGCCTCTGGGAAATTGAGTTATGCTCTGATCTCGAGTTCTAAGGGAAATGTTCAATTTTATTTTTTTTTCCATAGTCGAATAAACAGTACCATGTATACTATCTCTTGTGTTAGAATAGTGTTGTCTTCACATAAGACTCAAATAATGGTATTAGTCATTCATTTCCTTGTACACATACACCCTATTGCGTGTTGACAGGTTTATAAGGATGCAGTGGCAGCCGTGGGTGCTGGGAAGCTCCTAGACGACAGCCTTTGAATCCTTGCAGTCCTGAGCAATGGTGCCTGAGTTAGTCTGTTTATTGTCTGCTTTCTCTCCCAGATGCTTGACTTGTCTGAAAGATTAATACATTAACAAGAGCGGTAAGGTCCAGGGTTGCACATCTTTAAGACATGTTTATTACCAGATGGCACATGAGATTCAAAGGTCACTGTGGAAGGTAACATTTTAAAGTGAAACAACAATATTTATGTTCAAATACTATGCTGATGAGATCATATGGAAAAATGTTTCTGATTAAATTAGTTTATAAATAGCCACAATATATATACTGAAAATTCCAAATGCCACTTTTATTCTTACTTCTTTTACTCTATTACTTCCTAATTTATTTAGTAACACAAGACTATTTTCTTACATAAACAGACTAGCAGCTGGAAAAAAAAATCTTTACTGAATGGACAATCTCACTTTCTTAAATAATTGAAAATCCAGTGTGAAACCCTGTTCTATTGTCTACTACTTAAAGCTAATATTCCATATCAGAGTTTTTCAAGACCTGAAAGAAATCTCAACTTTTAAATTCTCTGCGGTAAAATTCAGCTTGCAGTCATAATGACTTATTGGCAGATAGCTATGCTTATTTACAGGCAATATCATGTGCTACAACACATTTGACAAAAATCATGTTATGCTACTTACACAGAATCCATACAATGGGAAAAAATCCCTTTCTTTAGCATTTCCACAGGACTGTCTCTCTCATAGCTAATTAGTAAACATCATCAGTAACACTAAACCTGAAATCGTGTTTATCCTCTCAAATTGTCACAAACTATATGTAAATTCCAGAGGAAATAGTTTTGCATAGTTTTAAAAGGGCAACTAAGCTCTTAATTAACATTTCTTATCTACCGTGCCACACAGGCATTAAAATGCAAAGGATTTAAATGGTACTTACTTTTCATGTGATCCATTCTCAACTTTCATAGCTCCTTCCACTGGATCCAGTCCTTGTTCTGAAAACTGTTTCAAGGCACTTAATGCTGCCTAAAGAAAAAATGAGTTGTCAAAAAACCCACCGGCACAATTATATTAGCACCAAGTGAAGGAAGATGTGTGTTTTGATATTCTAGATTTAATCAATTTCCTGTATATTGAAGCCTTTTAGGCTACTGAGCTAAGAGTTGGTGCACATCAGCTCCATGATAAACAGCTATGCTTGTGCAAGGATTGAGGATATCTCCTTCTTCCTGGGCATAAGAGGGACTCCCATTTGTGTTGATGCAAGCTTCATCACTTATATGAAGAATAGGATGTACTTTTATGATTCTTGGCTTTCTGGCTGTAAAGTCTCTCCAGCTTCCCCATGTGCTTTCCTAGAGCCCATACTTCCCAGAGATCCTATGGAAAAACTTTTGAGTTGCAGATGATTGGAGAAAGTGTGAGAAGTGGGAAGAGGGTCAGCAGAACACTACCAGCACGCCAAAGTCAGATCTGGAATGATGTTACAGTCTGATGTCTTATACACAGGTAGTGAAATGTGCTAATCAGGGCAGGCTAATATGGGGTGATTAGGGAAATCAGGAATAGAAGAACAGTCAGTTTTTATCCAACATTTTCCTGTGTATTCTTCATTGAGCAACTTCTGCCTCATCTGCTATGAGCCTCTCATCTTCTCTTCCCCCTATCTGCTTTGGTAAAAAGAAAATTATTTTTTGTAATTGATTCAGAAAAGGTTGATTATGAAACTCTCTGACACCACATGGCCAACTTTGAAAATAGAGCCAGCACAATAAAACAGCTGAGATCAGTTCTACTGAGAAGGTGAAATATAAAGCAAAACTGCAAAATGGATTTTGCTTTTTAATCACTTCCTCCTGAGATACATTCAGAACAAATAACAGGGGAAAGAAAAGGTGGCTTTTCACAGGCATTGTGCCCTAAGCTAACACCTCAAGCAGTGGAACTGACTGCAGACCCTAAAGTGCTGTTCATGGTGAAGCAACAATTGCTGCTCTCTTCTTATTTGTTGGGACAGAAAGAATCCATGTCTCTATCTTCCTTTCCTTCAGAGAGCAGAGACCCTGCCTGGAACAGGAGCTGCCATTATAATGAAGTACTTGATTTGCCTTTGTACTAATTCTTTGCCTGGATTCTCTCAACAACTCCTTCGCTTGAAAGGTATGTTTATACAACTTAAATATTATTAGACAATGTGTATTTTGGTAAGATGAATAACAGCACAAAAATTGCCAGGCTGCCCCAAAGTAAAAGACCATGTGTCCCATATTTGTCTACAGTAATGACTAGCTGCTAATGCCTCAGAAAGCTGTACAAGGTAATCCCACCCATATAGCATGAAAGTAGAATCTTTCTAGTCTGTGAAATGTTATGGTTTGTGCCCTGACCAAAAAAAAAAAAAAAGGGCGATAAACATTTTATAAATTTCTTGGTAAACCTCAGATTATCACTGTTACCTACATTCCACTCCACCTTTACCATGTGTTCTGACCCCCCTGTACGAGATTCCATTACTGGATCTTTCACTTTTATTATTCACTGAGCTCCCCAGAGAGAATTCTCTCTATCCTAATTTCTTCTGGTTTTCTTGATGTTTTGACATATTTCCATTCTTCATAATAGTTCTTTCTCTACCACCTCATAGCATGCCTTCACAAGTTTCACATGCACATTCTCTACTTCTATAAGGTCTAACCACTATCTGTCTCTCCATCCTTGATCTTGACTGCACAGCAAAATCACTGCTCATCACAAATAATTCCCCCAGAGACAATGAGGGTTTCCAACTACTCTCCCCTTAACTTTTCTATTCCAGTAACCCAACATATTTCTTCATCCCAATTTCTCTCTTCTCCTCTCCCTGAGGTCCTTTCCATCACAATGCAAGCACGACACATCATGTGAGGCAGGGGAGTGATTTGGGCTCCTATGCTTCCTTGTACTTTAATTGCATGGATTAGCAACTGGGAGAAAGAATCCAATGGGTAGGGACTGGCACCCAAGAATCTCCTGTCTTCTCACATCCATTTTTTCCTGATGCACATTAGCAAAACTATCAGAATCTCCTTCCTTCTTATCTATGGTAAATCAAAGCCCATTACAAGGTAGCACTGCAAGGAGAGAAGGAAGCTGAGACATCTGCTCCTCCCACACAGTTAAACTGCTACCTCATATGTTTCTCAACTCACCTTGTTTACCTTTTCATACCCACTCTTAGCTTCCTGGTCTGATGTGTGAATTGTAAACTTATTGTGGAAGAACTTTGTGTTCAGGTTATTTGTTTGTACAGTGACTTGGACGAAGAGGCCCTGATCATAGTTTGTAAGCAGAGCCAAGTAAAGTTTCATTCAAGATTAAATCACATATTGATTATATGATCTGCAAAACAGTCTGGTCTCAATTAGGGGTAACTGAAATCCCAAAATTGTCAAGAGATTAATTAGACCAACACAAACATCGAAATTCTAGAATTGCTGAGTAGCTCTGTTACTTACTACTGTTTTACTCACAGAACTGACTACTTGCAAGGCATCCCACATAAATTACAGAATTACAGAGCAGCCTTCAGGGTCATTTTCCAGGAAAACTGATTTGAAACTTCCTGGATGAATATTAGCCACTAGCTTAATAGAATCACATCAAGACAGCCCCTCCTCTTCTAACAGCAATGGAAGAAGTACTACAATATAAAATAATGAACACTTTGTCTATAAGCATGGATCATTGGGTGTCAACAGGAGCATATGCGTGTCAATAAAGTAAATATGGAACAATTAGAGAAAACACATAAAATGAAAATATTATTCAAGATGTTCAATGATAAGCATGTTTAATACCAATACAACTTCCAAATCCTAATGCTTGTAACATGGTGGAGTCTCATTTTGCCATCTCACCCTTCTTCATGCCATGCCTTTCCCAAACTGAAATATGACGTAAAAGATAAAATCTCAGACCTATTGCATTTGTGAATCAGAGGGAGCAATCAGCAGGGAAGCAGTCCTGTGCCTCTGTGCCTGTATCCTTGATCTTCCAGCTACAGGTGTCAGGGTGTCTGTGAGCGCTGTTGAAGTCTGCATTTTTCCTGCTCCTAAATGCTCTCCCACCCAGGACCCCAGCAGGTCCAGGACTCCCCAGGTTCTCCCAACCTCCTACACCTCACAGTCCCTCTTTAACTTCCAGTTTCCTAATGTGTTCCAGGTTAATAGGAGGTCTGATTTCTTTTTCATGGAACCATGTCTTACTATACATAAATTACCTGTGAGGGAAGCCTAATTATATCCCAACATTTGCAATAAGATTTGAGTTTTGGGAAAGTTTATTTCCTTTTTAAAAGGTCCATTCATGGGATGTGGCTTAAGGGGAGTAGAGGAATGGTAGGCAGTGTACTAAAGCCTCCCCCTTTTCTTTCTCCCATAGCCTGCCTGTATTTTGAAGGATCAGCAAGCTAAGAGAAGCAGGTGAGTAAACAATACTTTGGATCTTAATAGACGTCTTTAATGTTTCTTCCCTCCCCATCATGCCCCTAGACAGACATGAAGATGCTGGATCCAGGAAGGAAGCTGGTAGCTTAGAGGCTGTGACCTGAATAGTCAGCAGAGCGACACAGAGCTCTAGTAACCCGCAGTGAAGAAGAGTTACAAGCAGACACCAGGCTAATTTAATCCATGATTCAATTCTATTAGTCCCAATAGATTTACACCACTTGGCTTAAATATAACTTATGAATGGCAGATAACTTAGGTTAAATGAAAAGGAAGGAAAAGAATGGAACATTTGACAGTGAATCTAGTGAACAATTTCCTCTTTTAAGAGCTCAACACTTCCTTCCATTGATATTTTTCTTACAATAGAGCATCTGCACAGATACAGAGAAATTTTTCTCTCCCCCAGAAGATTTTACAACTGTTTTGTGAGTGAAGCCCCATAGGTTACAGAACAGATGTCCTTACACATTTCTTGTATCACTTGTTTTCTGTGTAGCTACAACGGTGCCAAAAATACGATGCCAACAGGATGCACCGCGCTGCTAGCTGTTTGTCTTGGCTGCCATTTCCATTATTAGTATGTGTGTGTATCAGGATGGGGATGGATGTTTCCAGTCATTTTTTAGCTTTCCTCAAGTCAATTGGCAATTAGTAAATAGCACTGAAACTTGTAAATATTCTTCCTGTTTCTCACTCTGGGGATTAAGTGTCTTGTAATGACAATCTAGTAACATTAGATCATTCTCTAGCAAGAACAGCAGACAGGCACTCCACTAGCCCATATGCATTTAAGATCACATCCTCACGATAAAATTTCCACGTTTGTTTTAACACAGTATGTGGTTGTGTTTTTCCTCTTAAATCTATATTACATTTCAGCTTATTCCATGAAAATGAAAACTGTAAAAGTTTGCTGTTCTCTGTGGCCCTTCCAGTTGACTTTACCAAGGAGGTCTGAGACAATCCTAACAAACACACTGCTTCATACTGTTAGTTCACTGGAAACATGCCTCCTAACATCAGTTTCCTAAGTACATGAGAAAACATATTCAGCTTGGCCTTAATCAGTGTTTTCTGAAGACATAAAATTATGGGCAGAAACTGCAAGACTGACTTGTCAGGGTCTAGAGAAGGTCATGAAGGACAAGATTTTACTGTCTTTAGTAGCTGGGTCTTACTTCAGGACCGAGTTTGCTGAGTCAAATGATTCATTGTGGTCATGTTTCTTGTAATCACATGCCATATGCATCAACAAGTCTCTGTTGCTCAATTTTAGGCTTGAGAACATGTTTGCATACCAGGTTACCATCACAGACTCTAGTCCTGGATTTTACTATCAAGCCAAAAGCCCAGACAACTGCAGAGCATGAGCAAAACCGGTAGTATGTACAAACAAATCAATGTTTATTTGTTTTCTAAATCAAAAGAAAAAATGTTCCCCTAATCAGTGAGTTTCTTTCCCTCTCCCTGACTACTGAGGCCTCAAAAGGCAATGTCAGCTGTGCAATAACATTGCAAAAAAGCTGTCTGCATCAGTAATGAGATGTACTTCATGCATTTTTAATATATGGATTTTAATTTCACATTTAAAGGCTATTGAAAAAAACCCCAACAATATTACATCTATAGAGGTGAGTTTGAAGGCTCAGTGCCCCAAAAATGAGCAGCTATTTAAATTTGTATGTATTCAAATTATTGTTCTTGGTGATTAGTTTTGATTTCTCTAGATGAAGATATTTTTGACTAAGCTTCCACCTGGCTTTAACTTGCCCACACTCAATACTTTATGCACAGAGAAATGCACAGAGAGAAGATATATTTGTTTGCTTAGACTTACATACATGCACACAAAGTAGCTAAAATTTGACTCCTTAACATACCTATTTGATTCTCTTGGATCTGTCAGGTTGGCTACATACAAGCTAAACAAAACCTAAGTATTGCAAACAAATCCCTTTTTCCCACGACTTCTGTCGTAAATTAATTTACTATATTGCAAGCAATAACTCCTGCTAGGAGTTTTCATCACTTTCCTTTCAATGTGCTGTTCTCTCCAGTTGATTAGATTTCATGTGAGCCAATGTTAAAATCTGTTTGAATATTAAGTTCAGAAAGGCTTTTCACAGCACACAGTGTAAACCTTAATTAAATGACTTTAAGCTCTTTCCTCATATGGTTTGTGATATGCATGAAGAACACAGGGTTATAATCTGATTAACTCATGTAGTTTACATGGAAATAGCATTTTCCAAACTGATTAACCTCTGCACAAAGGCATAGTTACCTGATAGGCACTACACTTAAGGCTACTGATTGCACCTGTCAAGAGAAGGAGCTTGGAGGATAGGAGGAGCCCACTATTTTCAAACAAAGAATGATGATTCACAGATGTAGCTTAGAACAAGTCCCACGTAGTAGTTAATGCTGCCCCCAGGCAACTCATGTAGCCAGAATTTAAATGACACAAAATCCATGTACAGCCTGACCTTGCCAGCTTTCTGGGGGTAATCCTAAAGTAAGGATTAACTGTTCTTGAACAATTTTTCCATTATATTAAACAGAGCTTCTATCAACAGCAGCATGCATGTCACCTTCTTCCACCTGGTTTTACTGGACACGTGTACTCATTCCTCCATGCCTCTTAATATGCTGAGAAGTGCATGGCATGAAAGACACTATTCAACATGGAACTTTATTTCCACAAGTTTTAGTCTTCAACCTCAATTCATCTACTTCATCTATTAAAGTAAAGAGGCTGCTTAACAGTAGAGAGAGTCAATTGGACATGGCTTATTTTCCCTGTGAACCACCACACTAGAAATCTGACAGCCATTCTTGGGAACATGCAATAATTACAGGAGTAAGGAATGGTGAAGCATTCTCTTAAACCCCAAGAAAGAGCTACATAATCATCTGAGGTGAGACAGTTCTATTGTTTTAATGGTGATACCAAGCTTTCCAGTCACAAAGAGAGAAAAGCATGCTAAAATGCACTTTTCTAAAAATTAGTAAAAGGTATGTTTTTGTATTAAGAGGATTCAATAAATGACACTTAAAATCTAACACATCTGAATTAACAGAATATAAGAGATTAATCCAGCATGGAGAGGTTAGTCTAGTTGCCAAGCTAAGGTTGTGCTCTTATTTGCAGGTAGGAAGAAGAGAAGAAGGGATTGCTAAAGGATCTATGTGGGACTCAGATTGTACAGGAATGTTCTTCAATCTTTGTCTTCTCAGACTCCTCCCACACACTTATTCCCAGTTGAAAGGGGTAATTTACTCAAGTGCTACCAAGACTTTTGCTTTCATGACAACTTATGCATGAAACCAGTATAGTTGGTGCTTCTTCATGAACATCTCAAAAGAGCTTTCGGGTTCAGTGCCAGTATCTACTGAGGTGTGTCTACATCCTCTAAAGGTGAAGTGAGGTGTGAAAGTTGGGCCCCAGTACCAGAAGTTAAAATAAATCTTAAACAGTTAAAACAGAATTAAGTAAATCTTCTATCAGATATTATCAGTATCTTTTCAGTGTATCTGCTGTAGACTTTGCCTAGAATTCTGGAAGTTCTTTTAAAGTAAATTTATTTTTAAATTCAATACGTCCCTGTTTTCCTTCAGTTGCTACTATTCCAAGAACAAATACAGAAGGAATCATACATCATCACAGCTTACTTATGAATGAGAAAATATTTTAAAATCAAATTTCCAGCTGTTTACACTACATATATACAACAGAATTTCACTAGACAGCAATTAATTTTAAATTAATCTTGCTTCTAATTTTATATCCTTTGACAAAAACTACTTAAACACTAACTTTCAGAGGGAGGTTGGCATTTAAGTAATATAGGAGCTTTCAGTAATTAGAGACGTGCAAATGAGAGTATTTACATGGCAAATTATTGTATTGGTAGGTAGAAGTTTAAATTATGCAACTAAGACAGCACTCAAACATGATTGAGGAGCTGCAGACAAAAATTATAGATTTTAAGAACGACAGCTTCAAATGTAAAACTGAAAACAGCAGAATGCATATCCTCAGGCAAAATCCTGCACTAGCATGGAAAAAAGGCCATGAATTACTCTCTCATCACTGATGGCTGGAAAATATCCTTGACAGCTGTGTTCTCAGAATTATTTGGTTTATTTATTTATTTATTTACTTACTTATAGGCATTTATCCACATCACTGCAATAGATTTGCAAATATGCTGCCATTAACCCTACAGGTATTGCAAAAGATTTTGGACCTCTTGATTTTAAATAAGTGAACTGAGTTTCTTGGCTGTGTAAGAGTTTACAGTGACTTCTAAAATATGCTGTGTTAGACAATCCTCTTCATTTATCTGACTTCCACAGTTCCATCATGGTTTTGACATCACTGCCACTGCCTTCACTACATAGGTATCAATACATAAATTACTGTGTTATTCTTCATGAGGGAATGGGCCCTGACCCACTTAGTAATGTAGATATAGCTAGAACTCTTTTAACAAAATTAATGAGCTATAAGCATTTATTCTGTTATTTAAGTGGTTTTCTTAGGTAATTGCTCATACAGAGTGGTCCAAAAAACAGATATTAGAAGATTTTTATTCCAAATATCCACACCAAAATCAGCATGCAACAAGGTTCAAGCTATCAAATAGTACCCAATACTTGCATAAACATGGTTACTCTTTCACTTAATAAACTGAACTTGTAAAACACACTCACTAGTGTTAGGGTACTTTTTGGGTCTCCTTGCCAATATCCTCTTCTTGAGACAAAGTGTCACTAGGGAACAGAGGTAGTTTAATTAATGCTGTTTTGAAAGAGAAGGAAACCAAAGAGAGAGAACATGAGCACAGAAACGGCTGGCCCAAGGTCAGGCAATAAAAGTAAGAATCAGTTTTACTAGCTTACATGCATTTTATCATAGGCCAAGATAGAAAGAGGGAGATCCTAAATAAAGGTATGTAATGATAGAAAAT